CTTTGTGGGAAAAGTATTAATCTTTAGTCATTGAGTACGTTAGATGTGGGCTTTTCACAGATGCCCTTATCAGGATGAAGATATTTTCTTTTATTCCTAGTTTGTTGAGTGTTTAAATCATAAAATGTTGGTGAATTTTTAAAATTCTAAATTTTTAAAATTCTAAAATTTTAAAATTAAAAAAATCTTTTCTGCATTTATTGAAGTGATTATGTAATTTTTGTCTTTTATTCTATTCATATGGAGTATTATACTAGTAGATTAAAGTAACCTTGCATTTCTAGGGGAAATCTCACTTGGCTGTGATGTATAACCAATTTTATATGTTGTTGGGTTAAGTTTGTCAGTATTTTGTGAGAATTTTTGTGCCTATTTTTGCAAGGGATATTGGTCTGCAGTTTTCTTTCTAAGTGATATCTTCATTTGCTTTTAGTGTCAGAGGAATAGTGGCCTCACTGAATGAGTTGATAAGTATTTTCTCTTTTTTTTTTTTTTTGGCTAAGATTGTGTAGAATTAGTGTTCATTCATACTTTGTTTTGTTTTGTTAGTGTGTTATTTTGTTTTGTTTTGTTTTGTTTTTGTTTTTCCATCAGGTACGTATACTCGCCAGAGAGACAGACAGTAAGAGGGAAAGTGAGAAATCATCCCCCAGGGAAGATAGCCATACCGCAATCCCTTCTCCTCCATTCCCCTTCTGGGATTTTGGGCACACACACACACACACACATACATGCACCAGGCATGATTTTTAAGTCCCCAGATCTGGTACTTGAACCACGGTCGTCCATGTGGGAGTCCAGTACTTTAACCACCAGGCCACCTGCTGACCCCAGTATTAGTTTGATTTTACATGTGTGTTAGAATTCACCAGAGAAGCCATCTGAGTCTGAGCTTTTTGCATCTGGAGAAGGCTTTCTGATTGCTAACTCAAAAAGTCTTTACTTATTTACATCTAAGGTAAAATCAAAATATTTTTTAAAAGTCTCAGAAATGCAAATACTCAAAACAATTTTCCTCTAACACTTTACCCTTTTCTGGAAAGTTACTATGGTCAAAATGATGAAATAAAATAAGAAAGAAGAGAACATGGGCATGCCTATTTTTCATAGTCTTTTGCAATAATTTGGCTTTTAAAATTAGGTGCATGTGAAACATTAAACTAAAAAGGATACTTAAAAAAAAAAAGAGGAAGAACTCTCTTTGAAGACTGGTTGAGAATTGTTTTGTGAACACACTAACTGAAATAATCTCAACTAATTCTAGTTTGGAATGTTGTGTTTACTTTATTGAGTAAAAGAAGCAGCCAAGATTTTTAATACAAACGTTCTTTTTATTTTTGCATTGCAAGTGATGAACTTTAGTAAACTAGCCTTTCGAAGTGGGCTTTAAAAGGCTCTACATAAATGGTTACACAGTAGACACTTTTGGGAAAACGAAATAATTGAGATCCTTATGGAAATAGGTGCTTATGGCTCTATTTAGAAAAAAAAAGTCAGCATATCATATACAGGTTCAAAAAGTGCTGTGTATCAAACTTGTGCTCTGGGAACTATTAAATTATTGTGGTCTTGACAAAGGCATCGACAAAGAAGACTAAAATGAACAGTTTAAATAATACTATTTTATGAGATGAATAGTAAAATAAAAAGTGTGTTACTAAATTCAGATATTATCTTATGCTAGCTGTCAAACCATTTCCCAAAAGCATTTTTCATTTTTGTTGAGAAGGTAACAAGAAGGAAGGTAAGGAGAACCTGTCATTTCTCCAAAGTTGAAGTTTAATCACATTTGCATCCTATGACCATCCCACTAACCAAGTCCCTCTTCCTCTCTGTTAAAGTACCCTGTTTCTTTCCTTTAAAGTACTTAACACCTCCTGATGTCTTCTTATTTATTCATTGGTTTATGTGCTTAAAGTCTACTTCCCTCTCCACAATGCAAGCCCATGGAAAGAGTCTTGTTCTCAGCTTAAGGCATCCTCAATGCTTCCCAAAGCTTCCCAGATTGTAAATACTGAGTAAAAGTTGAACAGGTGAAGAGCGAATGAATGAGCATCTGCTAGACCCATAAACAATGTATCATTTAAATCTTCCACAGAAACCTGGGTTATCTTTTGACCACCTGGGAGAAAAATTGCCTTTTCCCTAACCAGTCTTGCAAGTGATAGAATTTATGGCAATTGGTGGTGTTGAATTCTTCCAATTCACTGAGGGGAGTTGTAGCTACTAACGGCCTTTGTTCTCTGGGGAAATTCTCCGAGTTTATATAACCATCTTAGTAACAGAGAAAACATGCTCCACTATGCAGCCTCATGTGAGGTTTGCCATGGTAGGGGAAATGAACATGATAATGGAATGGTGTTATATATTCTAAAAGCACAATAACTGGTTTTTTCATTTACCGCAGCAAGACATTTTGCACTATCAATTTGAAGCCAGATTATTTCTAGTTTCACTTCACTTGAAATTCTTTCATGGCTCCACACTGACTACAGAAAAGTCCAAAATCTTTCGCATAGAAAAAAACCTTTTCAAGCACCCTTCCCAAGAAATAACAGATCTCTTAAGTGCAGTCTCCTACTCTCAATTTCAGATTTCCTATAGGACTGGCTCATGGCTACTTCTAAAACTGAACTCCCATATCTCTCCCTATGTGGTACTCTAGACCCTGGTCTCCCTGAGGTTCCTCTAAATCTCCACTCTTATTTGCCAGGTGTGAGAAATGTTCTCCCACGTGTTTACATGGTGTGTTCCCAATTTCATGCAATTCTGCTCAAAAGTCTTCTAGAGAGGTTATCTTTGACACTCTTAAAGAAATAAATCCCACCCCCCTCATTTTTCTAGCTAGAACTACCCCTTCTCTCGAGCCTTACCCTAGCTTAATGTATCTGTCTTCTCTTCAGAATTTAAGCTCTGTGGTGGTGTGTTTTCCTTTTGTTTATTGCTGTAGACATCTGTGAATGAACGAAAGGCACTTGCACTGCATTATTGCAAACACTAGCTGGAGACTTCACTGTCTTCTGTTGGACAGCAAGGATTACATCCTATTCCTCTTAGTCTCCAGCTACTTCCTGAAAAGAGTAATTGCTTAATATTTCTTGTATGATTGAATGACATCAAGTATAAATGACCTAAATCAACAGTTCCCAGTAGAAGGACTTTTGAATCATGGTATATGCAGAAGCTGAAGAATACAAGTATATTTCTAGTCCCTTTATCTGTAACTCTTAGGACTGGATGGATTGCAAAATTCAGAATCATTCATTATTTAACACCCAAGCAGGGTCAGTTCCCTGTAATCAAACACATTAACAGTCATGCAACCAGACATGTCCTACTACATTTGACAAACAATGCCCAGAACAACTCTTCGTGCCAAATAAGTTCTCAAGAAACATGTTAAGCGTCTGGGATTTTAGAGTGGTGGAAGAAAAGCTGTGGGTATGTACTAGCATATGGAGATCTGCTAAATATCTCCATGTTAAAATGCGTTCCCCATATTCTAGAAGGCTAGGAATCACTGATTTAATCCATTAGTTTAAGACATCTATATTTTTCATGATGGCCAACATCAATGAAGCATTTACTTCAAGTGTCAACCCTTGTGTTAAGCTTTTTAAAATGAATATAAAACTACTGTTTACCTTATTTTATGGGTGAAGAAATTACGGTTTGGAGGGGGGCTTACTTTCCCACAGAGCTGGATCCAAACTGAACCTGTCTCATGATAAAAAAACTACGTTTGGGGCCAGCAGGTAGTGTGGTTAAGGCATAGATTCCCACATGGCCAATGGCAGTTTGAGTCCCAGATCCTGTGATTTACATCAGGCATGTGTGTGCATGCCCAAAGTCCCTAGAGGTGAATAGAGGTCTGGGGATTACGGCATGGCCATCCCCTTTGAAGAGGGTGATTGCTCACTTTCCCTCTTTCTGTCTCTCTCTAGCGAATGCACATGCCCTAGAGCAAAAACAACAATGACAACAAAACTATACTGTGCCAGTCCATGTCCTGGTGGTTAAGGCAGCCGGACCCCACATGGCTGACCACAAGATTTGAGTCTTGGATCCTCCAGCTGGAGAAATACAGCAGGCATGTGTGCCCAAAACCCCATGGAGAGGCAGAGAAGTCATTGCAATGCATCATTCTCCATAGTGGGGGAAGAGGGTGCTTTCTTCTTCTCTCCCTCTCTCCAGTGAGTGGTACCTGTCCTTTAGCAAAAAAAAGAAAAAAAAAAAAAAAGCCATGCTTTAGGCTACCTGATTATACAGACTTCACGTGACACTAAGATAAAAAGTCTTTAGTTCTGCCAAGTTTCTCTGTGATATTGAGTCTAAGGAAAGTGAATGTGAAAATTCTCGGCCTACACGTTCCTCTGTTTAAAATCAGGCTGGCTCTATGTTGTCACATTTACCTGATATCTGTATAATGGAATGATTTACTTCCTGAGCTATGCCAGTGTTGAAAACGTCTGTAAAGTGAGATCCAGCGATTTCAGAAAACTAAAAAAATAAATAGTTTCACTAACTTGACCTGATTTCCTTTGCAGATCCATGATCTGTAGAACCAAGGTCTGCTGCTCCCTGAAAGGCATAAGTATGGATGGCAGGAAAGACCATTAAAAGGCACTAATCATAGATGATATCTAGGTTTTAAACTTTTTTCAAAGTTTACTACCATAGGTGCTTGAATTTTTTAAAGCCAGGTACAAGTTGATAAAATGCGTGCATGATGATCCAATTTTGAAACTTGTTCAGAATTACCAAATAGGCAGATAGTTTGGCACAGTTGTATAAGAACAATAAGGCTATTTAAAAAAAAAAAAATCCCTGCATAGGGGTGTCATCTATAGACACAGTGTTTTGGACCTTACCACATGTATGGGAGAACTTCCAATTATGAAATGTAGAGTAGCAAAAACACAACACAGTCATTTATGATACGAAGCAGATAATATGAACACAGGAATTAAGAAATGAAAATAACATATACACTGAAAACATCACAACAGAAACGGGCTTTATTTCAACCAAATGAGTTCTTGAATTAGCATCAACTTCTTCAAGACTTAATGATTTAGAAATTAAAGACGGTGCTCAGAAGGCAGAGAAGAACGATTAATCGTGGAGGAATTGTACTACCCTTCAAAACTCCCTTTCAACAATACGCACAACCCAAAAGATCATTCGATCTCGTACATTCCAATATTTGTACAAGACCCTCATTTGAAAGTTACCCTTCAGCCTTAATAGAGTCTTTCAAAAAGAAAAAAATATATAAATCATTCTCATAAATTATTTTTTAATTTTAAAAACTGGGATTGAAATACAATTTTCTGTTTAAAATATTAAAAATGAAAAAGCTACCATTGTTATTTAGGATGTCTTGTTACAAAGCTCCTAGGTACATACATGTACAAAACAGTTACTACTGCTTGACACCTCAACTTATGAGTTCCCTTGAATCTCCTCACGTGAACAATCTACTGGGAGACTTTTCCCAACAAATTCCAAACGTCTTGTGCAAGGCTTTGCTGCCATTCATATGCATGCATGGAAAAAAGCCATTTCATCAAAGAAGATTGCAATTTAATATAACTTAGCATAAAATAAATCCAACAAAACACTATATTTATAAGGGATAAGAACCATTGCATATCATTTTCAACTTTTGCCAGGCTCATTCAATTCTTTCAGAATCTTCTCTCCATGGGCACTTTGAGAGCTTTAGATCTTTTGCTATGCTTTGTCTCGAATTGGTCAGCACCTTGATTGATAATGGGCAATTACAGGAAAGGAAGTTTATGGGTGGGGGAAGGGAGATCATCCAAGAACAGAAACGGGGAAGGACTCTCTTCTCATCAGACATTCGAACAAACAAACAAAAGACAGACCAAAAAGAATAAACAAACAAAAAAGTGTTCACAGTAAAACATGCCAGATTTGTAGTTTCATTTGAAACCAACAGCAAATCATGAAACGTCATGAAAAATATAAGTAAAGGTAAAATCTCCTAGAGTAATTACTAAATGAAGTTAAAATCACCACACTGATCAGTAAACCCCAGAAGAAAAATGAACAGCGCTTACATTTCAGGTCCTTCTTCAATATCACACAATTTTTCAAAGTTAATGCAGAAAATTGGGAGGTTTGGCCACGCTGCACACATATTTTTTTTTTTTAAAAATACAGTATACAGAAAAAACTCTTATATTCCCCATTTTGAACAATAAGCTCAAAACCTAAGAGTGAAAGATCAGCTAGAAGGATTTTAAATTATGTACAGATCCAGCAGGTTTATCTGCCATAATGGCTTGGCTTCCGTCCCACTCGGCTTTCTGTTCTGGGTCCTCACGGGAGGCTGTTCCCTCTGCATGCATCTCTACTGGTCATCAGTCATTTTGAATAGTTCCAACAGTGCCCCAACTGCTCCAAAATAACCCTGCAAAAACAACAAAAAAACTTCTGTACAATTCTCTCTAAACCTTTGCCAAATACCTATTAGCTCTGACAACTGCTTGGCTCGACGACTTCTCTTGGAGATGCTCAACAGTATTAGTTGAATGAATGAGCAATTGAGTGAATAAGTACTCCTAAGGTCAGGGCAGGCCACCAGGAAGCTGTCCTATCTCTATGGTGTTCTCTGGTAAGTCCTGCCTAAGCCAGAGTGAACTTAATGTAGAGAATTTTGAGGGACAACTTCAAGTGGTTACAAGAATGCCCCACTTTTACTGGCTATAGATACTGTGTTAATATATATATTTGTCTGAAAAGTCATGATGTATTTTTTCTATACAAAAATGTGATGACCCAACAGTTATATATAATAAACCAAAGTCACAGTCCACAGAGGCTTAGGGCTACACAAAGTGATCCAGGTAACAACATTTTTCCTTACAGAAGTGAGTTTCCCCAAAACGCTGGATCCCATTTCCTGTCTTACCACCAACTAACCACCCCTGCGAAGATGACTTTTCATCTCTGACGGCTTTCAGGCTTTCTTCTCTACACTAGGTCAAGAGGATCAAGACTCACGGTTGCCATGTACAATATAGATAAATGCTGAGTCAAATAACTGGGTGAACTGGTTTTTTTTTTTTTTTTTTGATTGTTAAATATGACAACTCTGGATAAGAACAGTCTGTTTTAATTTTCTTTTTTTAAACCTGAGATGATTTTTTTTTTCCCAAACAAAACCTTACATGGAAACTTTAATATATGAGCAGATTAAAAGGGAGATGTTCTGGGTGAGGAGATAAAGGTTGAAGGTTCTAAGACCTCATTTCCTCTCACCCAGAAAAAGCTGTATCACTTCATGCCTTACGCATTAATAACTTCTCCAATAAATAGATAACTCAGCTTGGAGATGAGAAAAATGCTACAGTAGTTAATCATTACAACTGGGATTTAGAACGCTAGTTTCCTGTGTCTCTTCTACTGTAATATACAAAAGAGATGAGGTACCTCTCATATAAATAGTAGCTTTCTACAGCACTGATTTTAATAGGGGTGACAGAGGAAGTGGAGAGAAGAGACAAGGGCTTCCTAGCCTCAGAAACTTTACTTAAATTATGGTAGAAGTTTCACACAAGGGACTGTCTGCCTTAGCCGATCTACTCCAACTCCTCTGTAAGCTAATGGCTATCAGCTTCACTAACAGTCAGGCTTACCGACCTCTTATGGCCGATAGGCTAATCTTAGTAGCCCAAGCACTTCTGTTCTCGTCAGCTGAATTGTTACTTGCCAAGAGTCAGCTCTGTTTATATTCAGATTCGTATATGATAGTTTAATTGTTAATATAATAATCTACTATAATATAATTACATTCTACCTAATCCAATAAAAAGATTCAAAGTGATGATTAATTCTAAGAAAATTTAGCTAAATTCTTGAAAAAGAAAGTCACAAACCATTGCTTGCCACTTAGGTAGATGCCACAATATGAAAGAAAAAATCTAAAAGGCTTCTACAACTAATTGTTTCATAAATATCTTTAGTTTCTTGATCACTTTAAAGAAACAAACTAGAAATCAAAGAAAGTGTGTAATTGTAGATTATAAAAGATAACTATAGTGATATGAATGGCATAAACCACGCTCATAAATCGACCTAGGGGGGCCCAGCTGGTGGCACGCTCAGTAGCAAACTGAATTGCAGTGCCAAGAGCCACATGGCCAACTATGGGTTCAGATCCTGGAGTCGGCCTGAAAACACCAGGCATGTGTGTGCACTCCCAAGATTCTGACACGCTAGAAGGATAGAAAAAGCGTGTTGTAGTGTGGTAAGACTCTGCTGAGGGCACTTTCCTCTCTCTCGTGCACATGCTATCATGGATAAAATAAACAAACTAAAAGAAAAAGGCCTTGTGGGAGCTAGACAGTAGCACAGAGATAAAAGCACAATGCTCGGCAAGGCTGACCCACATGGGAAGGTTGCTAGTTCTCAAGTCCGGAGGATATCCTGGCCACACAGGCTAGAGGCCGTGGGTGGATTTTGTTATCAAGACCTTGTCAGGAGCGCTGTGTCTTTGTCTTTCTCTCTCAGTGTCTCTCTCTCATGGAATAAATAAGTAAACTTAAAAATAAAAGGCCTGGGCCTTATATCAAAAGACTGATGAATAAATGCACATTTATACAATTTAAGTGAAAACAAAGTGGTTAAAATAGGAGATTTTTTTTTTTTTTTTTGAGAGATTTTTGCTATAGGGCACATGAGCTCGCCAGAAAGACAAGAGAGACAGAAAGCGAGAAATCACCCTCCGGGGGGAAGGCCATGCCGCAATCCCTTCTCCTCCATTCTCCTCTCAGGATCTTGAGCATGCACACATATGCGCCTGGCGTGAGTTTAAGCCACAAGGTCCGGGACTTGAACCATGGTCAACTATATGGGAGTCCAGTGACATAGCCATTACGCCAACTGCTGGTCCCGGAAGATTATATTTTTAAAAAATGCCAGCAGAGTCTGCTCACCAAGGAGTGAGAGAAAGAAAATACTTCTCAATGGGATTTGGTCATGCCACAATCCTTGTTCCTTCATTTCTCCATTGCATCAGCATTTTGAGTACACATTCATTTATCCACTGTTTTTCAAGCTGCCAGGGCCAGGATTTGAACTGTGGTAAGCCATGGGTGATCTGGCACTCTTTACAGAGTGTTAACTGCTGTGCTTTGAGTCCTACCCAAGTAGGGAGGGGGGGAGTTATTTATTTATTTAGAGAGAGAGAGAGAGAGAGAGAGAGAGAGATAGGAAGCGAGAAATCACCTCCCTGGGAGGATGGCCATGCCACAATCCCTTCTCTTCCATTCTCCTCTCAGGATCTTGGGCATGCATGCACATGTGCTTGGCATGAGTTTAAGTCACCGGATCTGGGACCTGAGACACGGTCAACTACATGGGAGTCCAGCAACATAGCCATTATGCCAACTGCTGGTCCCAAGTAGGGAGTTATTTTTAAAAAAGCATGAGTGTGCAAAGTCTCTTCAACACACTGATCTCAAATCATGTGGGTAAATTCTCAGAAGTAGGACTGCTGGATCACAAGAGAATCTACTTTTAGTTTTTGGGTTTTTTTATTCTTTTGTGTTTGAGGTACTTCTTTATATTGATAGTTATCTACAAGGGTTGTACTAATTTACATTCCCAGTGGATTTTTTTTTTCCCCATTAACTAACTACGAGTCCTGACTGTTGGCTAAAGAGTTTTTAAAAAAGTTTAGCTATTTATTTGCTTATTTATTTAATGAAAGGTGAGGGAGAAAAAGAAAAAGACAAGCACCTTCAGCAGGCTCCTACCCTGTAATCCTCACTCCGGCTGTTTCAGTCAGCCAGGATCATGGGCACACACACATGCACTACGCATGTACATGCTGACCTAGAAACTCAAGCCCAGGGTTGCCTTGGCCTCTACCACTGCAACATCACAATTGAGCTGACAGGGCTTCCATTTTATTGGGTCGTCAGAAAAGTCATGATGCATTTTTGCATAGAAAAGCATAGAAAACACATCATGACTTTTTCAATGACCCAGTTTTCTTATCTTTTGTGTTAATGCAAAGTTTAAATAGCACCTTTCTACTTGACCAGTTTTAAAACTAGAATACCTAGTCAGATGTTAGACAATTCAGAATTCATTCCATTTAGGACTATTTATGTCTATGTAAACGTAACCTACCTCATGTTCCAAAAACAGAGCTTTTAGCTGTCCTTTGGACCAAAAGTCCATGGCATATGCTAGCAGCTTCATGGAGACCATATTGATTCTGAGAAAATTCCCAACAAACACAACTCTGTCGATATTCTGGAAAAAACAAAGTTAAAGAAAGACCATTGAACCATGGCATAAAAATAGCATTTAGCAAAGACCCAACGTTCTGTATGTCACCATACTGAACACTGCAGAGCAGTTTGTTTTTTAGTGGAACTATGTCAGCATTTCCAAAATGAAGTTGAACAAAGCTCACAGAGCATTCCACGAGAAGAGAGTGAGGTTTTATTTTGGTAAGGTGGAAACTGAAATTCAGTTTATTTGCAGCTTATTTGACATGAAATCCAGCTCTCAATACACACACACACACACACACACACACACACACACACACACAAACTCACATAAGTGGAAGTAAAGTTCAAATTCAAGATAAGTATTTTTGTGTATTTTCCCAAACTTCTGAGTATAAAATACTATTACAATCAACTCGTAAGTAAAATGGCTATGGTATGGCTTGTTCATCCAGTGAGTTTGCTCAGGTCATTCTGTGCTGAACACCGGGAATACAAAAACAAAATCAGGTTCAGTCTCTGCCCTCAGAATACACTCTGGTCAACACTTAAGTTAAAACAGTGCAACAAAAAAATACCTTTACGTTTTTTGTCAACATGGATGTAGATTTGCATTCTGAACACGCACTTGTGAAAACATTTCTCTCTTATCTTGGCCACGCAGACATGCTTCAAATCCTGTAAGCTTTCAGCTCCAGTTCACTAACAGCACTTCCTGCTCCCCCAGATATTTCATAAGCTTAAAATTGAGCTCGGCCTGTCTACCACGCAGAGGCGGCTCACCACTCACTCAGTTACAAAGCTGGTTGCTATGGTCACTCATATCAAAGGCAAGAGAGTCTTTGAAGCTGGCATTATTTTCTGCTCAGCCTATCAAGAGTAATCAGGGTTTGGGAACATCACCTTTTAACTGTCTCAAGTTTTAACAATGCATGTTTATGAACCCATTATCCACTGAACTTTTTCTTGGGTGGCTGGTTGGTGGGTAGTTTTAGTAAGTTTCCTTAAAAAAAAAAGAACTACAGCCACAGACTACCCAGGGAGAAAGAGAGAGACAGAGAGAGAGACAGAGAGAGAGAGAGAGAGAGAAAAAGAGAGAGAAGGAAAGAGGTAACAAATACATTGAACCTTCGTTGATACTGTGGGAGTCCAACA